CCAAGGCCCACTGCGTCGGTGCAGTGCATGGCGACATCGGTCGGAGACGCTCAGAAGCAGCTGGAGTCTCGGCCGAGGGACGTAGAGGTGCAAGACGTAGAGGCGCAAGACGTAGAGGCGCAAGACGTAGAGGCGCAAGACGTAGAGGCGCAAGACGTAGAGGCGCAAGACGTAGAGGCGCAAGACGTAGAGGCGCAAGACGTAGAGGCGCAAGACGTAGAGGCGCAAGACGTAGAGGCGCAAGACGTAGAGGCGCAAGACGTAGAGGCGCAAGACGTAGAGGCGCAAGACGTAGAGGCGCAAGACGTAGAGGCGCAAGACGTAGAGGCGCAAGACGTAGAGGCGCAAGAGTTAGAGGCGCATGAGTTAGAGGCGCAAGACGTACAGCCGCAAGATGTAGAAGCGCAAGACGCAGAGACGCAAGACGTAGAAGCGCAAGGAGAAGAAGCTAAGGAATTGAGAAGGGCGATACTGGTTAGCACGGAAGAGGTCAACGGCGAGACTGTGTGGAACACAGAGATCGGATGTGTGTTCTCGGGTTCCGCGCCCGCCCCGGGTCGAAGCAGTGTACCAGTGACCTTGTCGTGCGTGACAGCCCACATCGTCGAGCTTTATGACATTATTGGTTGTGTGTTGTCTGGTCCAGCGTCTGCCTCATGTCGAAGTGGATCGGTGACAGTGTCGTGTGCGACAGCCCTCAGCGGCAAGCTTCACGAAATCGAGTTGGCCGAAGTGGTGGACATTAGTGACATTCTACCATGGCCACCACCGCAGCGTCAGCATCAGTGGATGCTGGAACTGTCTTTCTTTGGCCGACAACCACACCCCGCAGCACGGGTGATAGCACATCTTCTTCCTATCATTTTATCTAATATTGTCATTATAATTTTAAAGTGTTTCCAGACAGTCCTTATGATCTTCTTACGGGAGCTCCTATACCAGAAAAGTTAGGCATGAAATATGAATGTTCGGTAGTCCATGAAAGCGTGACAGTATTAGTAACATTGCAGATTATCCCACTACTAAGACTTTATTATTACTTCCTTCGTATACAAAAACTTTGTGACCTTTTTTGAAGGCTGCGCATAGCTCTGGAATTGTTCCGTTTGACTTGGAATAACACTCGTGGCATTGTCTTACCTGTTTACAAGCTATATACAAAGAAAGAAGCAACTCAGACGAATGAGATTGAGTGTATTCAGAGTCTTCGTCGCTCCTGTCATTGTCACCTGACGATGCTGACTCCGCATCGCCAAAAGTCGCTGCTTCCGCTCGCATTTCGTTCAGATTCTTTTCAGCTGCAATGATGATCCGACACGGGACTTTGGCTAGCGTACTCTTCATTTCCAGAGCTGTGTACGAATCCGTGTCGACTATATTCAGTCGTTCCAACCCGCGACCTCCATTATGCCGTGAAACGAGTCGCTCAAGCACATCCACACGCTTCGCATTTTCTCGGCATGAGAATCCTCCCAGCATTCTACAACGGCTTCGACGAGGTCCCTGCGATTCCGCTAGGCCACAGCGGAGACGTCTGACTAGAGTGGAGAGTGGCGAAGAAAGCCAGGTCGTCGACATTCTGATCCGGAGTGTGCGCTTGTTGCAGGACGACTGAAATGTTTCATCTTTCCGTGCGAGCGGAACCGATTTATGTTTTCACGCTGCGTATGGGGCCGCGCACCGCAAGTAGATCTACGAGTCTGGCCAGTTTCAGGGCAGTGAGTGCCGCGTGAGTCGTGACTCCGTGCTCCAGGCGCGAGCTCCACTTCGTCATGGTGTCAGTTTCGAGCAAGTAAGTGTTAGCTTTTTTGTCATTTGACTCGTGAGTTCCTGTCGGCAACGTCCTCACACGCATGGCTTTCGTGGAGAATCTGTTCGAGATCAACCAAACCTACCTCAACATGAATGTGGGTTGTCGATGACAGCCTTTGGCGCGGTTCGTTGAGCAGGTACTTGCTCAAAAACACCGTTGCAAAAAGTCACGAAGTTTTTGTATACGGAGGAAGTATAATCAGAGCCTTCATTTATTGCATTCCCACCTCGTCACAGCCACGCGCTCTCATTTCTCTTGTACAATGTACATGTATAAGAATGATCATTCCTTTACACTTCATTATCATCATTACCATCCTCTACTGATGAGCTCCGGCAGGGAGCGAAACAGCTGTCTAGAGGCGTGGAAAAATGAATATTATCTCTCAACAGAAGTGTCCTTGCTGGTGTCTTTATGGTGCAGCTGAGAGCGCGTGGTCGAGACGAGTTGGGAATGCAATAAATTGGAAATTATTATTATTATTAATTATTAAATTTTTAGTAGGGCATTCCCACAGGCCTAAGGCCTTCTTACGGAGTACCCTATATGTTTTTGTATGGATGAGCGGAAGTCTGATAGCGTGGAGCAAATACGAACAGAAGCAGGGAGCGAATTCCAGCGATCTGCACCTAAGAAGCTTAATGCGTACAGGCCATAGCGGTTATTAGCCAGGGGAAGAGCAAGAGACAGAGTATCCTGCGAGCGGGTGATTGACGCTGTGTGCGTGGCATTGACTCTAGTCACAAAACAGTCTGTTAAGAGCGGGCTGCACACCTTATGTAGTGATCTGTAAATAAGTACAAACAATTTGAATCTCAAACGTAAGGAGATAGAAGCTAGGTGGTTTCTGGCTAGAATAGTAGAAATGTCACAGAACCTTGGATAACCAAAAACAGTTCTAACTGCACGGTTGCTGAGGCAAGTCAAGCGATCTTGTTGCCCAGCCTAAAGACTATGATAAAAGCATTGGAAACGTACTCTAGTTGAGCCTGTATGAACGAGCTGTAGAAGGTTCTCTTTGCATCAATTGTTAGACGGTCACGGATTCTACGAAACACAGCTAGCTTGTCGCCTACCTTCCGCTCAAAGGCAC